TCTTAGCATATGGTGAGGCACAATCTTCGTTCACTAATCTACCCCACCCTCCCTGAAAGCGGGAAATCCCTGGTCAAAAAGTGTATACCAGCCAGAACTTACGCACGCTCAACGTTCATCGCAGGCCTATAATTTTCGACAGTTCAAAAACACAACTAATTCAGAATCTCCAGAGGATGTGTGCTGTCGGCACTCTACCGAATTGGATCTGTACCTTGCTGCCACGTGGGCCAAAGAGGAGTGTGCTAGAATGTATTCCCCTCACCAAATCCGCAGCTGTTGTGGTAGCACGTTACAGCAACAGATAGCTGATTTCATCAGCTACATTAGCAACAAAACCGGGCCATTCTTTCAACACATAATACCATCTCACATTGTTTTCCGATGTTCGCGCACTTAATCAGGGGTTGGTGTATGTTATTCGAAACACGTAATGTCCCGGCATCTCTGGTGATGCCAATGACTAGCGGCGTTTTGGGGTCCAAGTGAACGCTCTTTTAGAATGGATCCCATTGAACACTGCATATTTACAGTTCAGATTGAAAGTCTACTCCGAATCACAAGCAGCAGCGAATGCAATGTTTTTGCTTTTTCTATCTACACTCCCACTGGCTACTCCCAGGAGATCGTCAAAGATGAATTCCTTAGTTCGAATAGCAACATGAACGCTCAAGTCCATCAACAAATGGATGCAAGCTGTTTCAGAATGGACTGCTCCTGCGTTGACCGTTCTCTTCAGATACGTGCCCATTACAACCTCCGTAATGCAGAACAGCCTTCCAATGCTGGCACTACTATAGCTATATGACAAGCTGTTCTGAACCCAAAATGATCATGTCGCAATCGATTACAACTGGCGCACACCCGCGTAAGATTGTCAATCAGTTTAACGCAATCACCTCGCTTCTGAATTCGTTGGGGCACTGCGCTTTGAAGGTCGTCACAATGAGACTGGACCTTACCGTGGTGCGATGGTTTGTGTGCCTCAATGATCCATTGAGTTATGCTGGGTGGTGCTTTTGCACCTTCAAAGTCCCTCATACCAGATTGGTCAGTGGTTAGAGGCCAGACAAACTCAGCCTCCTAGTCCTCCAGGTTGGGGGTTGGAATGAGGGTGGCACCTTATTCCTTAAAACGGACACCTTGTATCCCAACGCCAAACCCGCTGCCTTGCGGTAAGGTTTTCGTATCAAAGGCTTTGGTTGAGAACCCTAATCACTCTCCTGTCTAGGCCTGAGCAACCTGACAGTATTCTGCCCACGCAATACAATGAATCTCTCTTTAAACAAATTTCTGATGCTCTGGCCACCACAGAGGATAATCAACGGTGTCTTATCTGCTGCACCGAGCAGGGTGGATAGGGGTTTGGATGCTACTGCTCAAGCCTTCCCGTCTTCTTATTCCCCCTCTTACTTCCAACTTCACTTTTATCCCACCTGTTTTCAACCCCCGATTCTTGGCCCTTCCCGAACATGCTTCGCTAGGCGTTCATCTTCTAATTTCAATTCACATGCTAACGCGGAGCGTCACTCCTCTCCTGTCGACAAGTCCACGTCTAATCAAGCGGTCCATTCTAGTTCATCAGCTTCCATTTGGAGCCCTCGATCCTCCTTCAGTTTGGCATGCCTCAATGTACGCACATTACTACAAATCGGTTAACAGGCAGCACTTGCCCAAACATTGGAGACCCTCTCGATCGATATCTGCTGCTTATCGGAGACCCGCCTGCAAGACTCGAGCACTAAGCTCACTCTGCGATCCCCTTCAGGTGACACCATCAGTACTTTCTGCGCCTATCCGGAGACGATGCATCTTCGAGCACCGGCCAAGCTGGTGTTGGCATTGCTCTGAGTCCCCGGGCTGAAGCTGCTCTGGTTGATTGGATTCCAACCAATAGCCGGATGTGTGCGGTCCGATTGGCTGGCTCGTTCAAAGCTTCGAAGTCGCGCGGGACTAATAGGTGTCTATTCATCATCGCTATCTACGCGCTCACAAACTGTAACGATGATTCGTTAAAGAACGACTTCTACCGCCAACTGATCCAGCTCCTTCGCCACAGAAGAAACACGGACACTGTTGTGTTGGCAGGGGATCTGAACGCACGAGTTGGAAAGTTGTCCACTGATGAAATGCATTTGGGCGGTCAGCACGGTGTAGGTTCCCGCAATGATAACGGTGAGCGGTTACTTCATTTGTGTGAGTATGCTCGCTTATTTCTTGCGAGCACTAATTTCCGACACAGCACCCGCCGGAGGGTGACTTGGCGCCCACCAGCCTCGAACCAGCTTTGGACGCAAATCGATCACATTGTAATCAGTTACCGCCAGAGAGGCTGCATCCAAAACTGTCGCTCGATTTGGAGCACATGTGTGGACACCGATCATGCACTTGTATGTGCTGACATGCGTATGCGTTTTGGCATACGCTAACGACGACGCTGTGAGCGCATTGACACCAGCTAACTGACAAAGCCAGCGGTTCTGAATGCGTATCGAAGTACGCCGACATGCGAGTTGCGTAAGCGCTCACTGGAGACAATTGAAGGTTACTGGTCACATATTCACCAGACCTTACTGGCAGCAGGCAAATCCTCATGTGGTATGTCTAATAGTCAACATGGATATTGGGTCTCTTCGCGGTCTCTTGAACTTATCGACGCTCGCCGGCATGTCGTGGCTGGATCGGACTGTTGAAGTTGAACAAAGCCGCGGTACCAGATGATTTTCCTCCAGCCCTCTTCAAATTCGGGGGCTTTGCTCCTGTTGATTATTTACATGGATTACTAGTGAAACTGTGGGAGCAGGAGACAGTCCCAACCGACTAGAGCCGCTCCGTTATTGTTCCCATATTCAAAGGAGGCTCGCGTTCGGAATGCAGCAACCATAGAGGAATCAGCCTGATCTCCATTGCCTCCATAATCCTTCACAGACTGACTGGCGCTCGTGAAAGTCAGATTCGTGAGGAGGAAGCCGGGTTTCGTCGGGGTCGCGGCTGCGTTGTCACAAATCAAAATACACCTTCCCACAAATCCTGTTCCGTTGGTATCAAGCACTCGTCGCAGCCACTGAGCGCACCTTTGCTTGTTGTAACTTCCTCTCAGAACCGAACACGCTATCAAGCCGTTGTTTGTCATGGCGCCGACAAGATGAACATTCGGTCCCCGGCTGTTCGCCACTGTACACTGCGCTCGACTGCCACGTCGTGAGCGGCCACGAGTGCAGGAGCAAAATAAGTTGAAGTTGGTCTCATCAATCCACACCGGTTGCCTTCCTTCCACCTCGTAATCCATGAGCTGCGTCGTTTTTTGTTCTCCAGCGTGTTCATGGACTCCGGAATGGTGTGCAATTTCTTCATTGTTATAAGTCTACCATCCAAGTATCGTGAGACAGTGCTGGTACTTACTGAAACTTCGAACTCCGCCTTCAACCGCAAACGAAGGAGTTCAAGGGTAACGGTAGGCTCTGCAGAAACCCACTCAACCAGACAGTCGACGTGGCTTTCTCCCAGTGCTCTGCGACGAACTCCCCCGTGCTGTCCCACCGTTTCCGTCGATTCGTACGCCCGGATCCAGTTGCGGCAAGTTTTCACGTTCACCTTCAGTATGCAAGCGACCTGCTTGCAATCGTCCCCTTCCTCGTACGCTTTCAGTACGACGTTCTTCACCTCCCTCGAGTGCTGAACATACGAGCCAACCATTGCGTTTAGGTGAACTGCACATTCAAAAGCATATGGCAAACTTATTTGGCTGTGGCTCGTTATACCAAACCAATCGTCATTCAAATCCTTACTCTCGTTCTAATCGGTGGGAATCGCTTCCTAGGACAGCGAAAGAAGGGCCAACCTGATGCATCGGCCAGCGACACTGTCCCTGGTAGTAGCTGAAGCGTCCCACATACACCCCTATGACTTAGTGCGTCTGAGGTCCAGTTGGCTGAAGGCGACGGGCTAAACACGCACACCTGCACAAGTGAGTGGGGTACGCACCGAACAAATTAATTGAGTAGACTTATGTTGAATGCCCCCTCAGATTATTCCTGTTGCCCAAGTGGACAACTTGTCCGGGAAATGGTATAGTGGGAGCACTAATGTTCACCATCTAGATTTCGGCATAAGACGAACTGGAACCGCCCACGATAACTTGGTCCTGTGCTCCACATGGCCGCAACCAAACTTCCCGTGTGTGTACCAATACCGCGTTTAGTCGAGCGAGACATCAAGGTGTTCAATCAAAGACACGACAATGGAGCTTGCGTATATTCATCGAAAGTGTAAGATCATCGGGATCGGCAAGTGCTTTGATACCCGCACAGTCACAAAGTCAATGAGGCTTTTGCATTCGTCCTCTCGTCTCCAACTCTTACTTATTCAATTTGGCGATATTCGATCCTTGTGCAGTCCCTTTGAATAACTTGCTAGTTTGACTACTGGAGTCAAGAGAATCAGATTTGTTATACGTCAATTGCGTGAATCACAGTTTATCAATTGGGCTGCTCAATCAACAAATCGATTGTTCCCCACCTACTGCAGAAACGAATGTGACAACAACACATGACTTTTCCTCGAGTATCCTAATTTGGTTCACACAAATCCATGCAGATGTCGGTAACCTAGGTACAGGAAATCGGCTTACCGACCATGCTAGATGCCTTGATACCGTTGATGAGGCGCTACAACCGAACCGGGATCACAAGTCAAATAGAAAGCACTATCGGGACTCAGAGCGACGTAGGGTTATCATCGGGTACGAAGTTCCGGTCTCTTGACACAAATACTAACGGACTCTTCTGTGTTCGACTGGACTGCGCCGCGTCAAACTCAACTGCCACGCGATTTAAACTGGCGTACCATTAGTTTGGCACGGGGATGAGTGTCACAATGCAATGCAATGTGTGGCTTGACACACAACAGTACGCTATGTAACAGCTCTCGGGCTCGATATATGCGCGTTTCTGTTCGGCACAATTCACTGACACATTAGGCTGCTCGTATTAAGTACTTACCGATTGATATCTGAGGCGTGAATATGCACGCTCTAAAAACCAATGAACTAGGTATGTTGAAGGGCGAAAACACTTCAAATTGACAGTTCTGTTTTCTTGGGCAAACAGTAAGCAGTCGAAAAAGGAGAGATCGTAGGGCTGGTCAAATTAACGAGAAGTACAAACAAAAAGAAAAAAAATCTGTTTGGGTACCACATCTGGGAGTGAAAAATGTGGGATTGACAGTGGAGGGAGCGAGCAGTCTAAATGGCCTTTTTCTTCGTTGCCGTAAACCGCTCCATGTACTAAAAATCAAAACAAAATAGCGCCAGTTTAGTTATCGAACGTGAGGCTCATTTAAGGTAGGCTCAATTGGTTGGCAATTTGGACACAAATGTGATAAAGGTCGGACGATACCGAAGACATCGATGGTATTACCGAGCAACTAAGCAATGTTTGTATCATGTGCCGCTTGTCAAGTGTGTGTGAATTTCGATTCAACTTGAGGATAAAAATATGAATAAGAAAATGCTGTCCGAGGTCGTGGGTATGAGTACGAGATGAGCGATAACGCACTGCTGCGATCCTATGGCCACTAACGCAATTCGGAACCGACACACATGGGAAACTGAACACTCACAACAAAATCACGACAGAATCAGAAATCCGGCACCAGTCTATAGCCCCAATCCCGGAAGGGAAGACCTCAGACACAAGGTCTATTCGCACGCCAACACTGAACACCAGAAAGTAATGGAAACTCATGATTGGTTTAGGCCATTCAACGGCCTTGCCAAATCAACCAACCACAGTGCTCGTTCGAAGCGGGAACAGATGGCGCGCACCGTTTACAATCAAAAATGATAACGAACAATAAGTCCATGGTTTTGGTTCTAGTGCAGTTCTTTGAGAAATATGGCCTTTTCCCAACACAAACTGAGAGACTCAATAACATTACCCTAGTGACGCATAATCGAACCTGGCAATGGCGCTTTTCTTTACAAAGACGCAGGGATATATGTTTATTGGCATTTATTGCCGCTACATAAAATTTTTGCCAAACGGCTGAAGGGTGAACAGTTCCTTAGTCCATAGATGCCTTAGCGAATGGTTTCAAGAGACAGCTAAACAACACAACAAGAATTTGAACGGATGCATTCACTGAAGCACAGCCGCAATGACCTATGGAATGTAAAATATTAGGAGTGGAATAGTGCGGACCTAAAGGACAAGCTAAACGCCATAAGCAAACAGGCCAGATCAAAGCGCCCACACATTGTTTACAACACACGATAATAAACAGCTGGATATCATGTGGAGATAAGGCGGACTCAGTGAAACAGCTTCCTTGCGACTATCACAGACTCGCATCATAACCAGCCATCATCCCACAGATAACTCAGCACCAGAAACCTTTTAAACAGGCAGTTCGACTAAGAGACGACAGTAGACGAGCTCCTGGTGCCCACCGCAAACCATGTCATGTAACGTCTCGAGCCAAGCATAAGGCCGGCCACGTAGACTCTAGTCGTGAAGACCACACGGACCAACAGTATCCAGTTTGGTTATCTGACTTCGTTTCCTGCTGTTAATTCACATCTGAGCCACGTCGAGCCTTTCGCCATCCAGCAGCTGGTAAATAGAACAAGGCTCTCCTCGACACGCGGTATTTGGGGCATGCGTAGCACGTGCACAAGCCGATGCAACTCCACTCAGTACTGCCTGCGCACGCGATCGCTGCGGACACGTTATTGCCATCAGACGTTAACAATGCCTCGCACATAACGATGATCAAAGCCTATGAGGCGTTTCAAATCTTCAGACCGAAGACACCAAAGCCCACTTCCCTCGAGGTGTTTTAAACGGAGTAACCCAGTTCTGACGCCACCGATGTCACAACTTTAAGGTGGCCCTAGCTTCCGAAATACGTGAACTAACTTCAACCGCTGACAGTGCAACTGCCTGAATAGGTGAATTTGTCAAATACCTCAAGAGTTAAGACGTCACCAAGTGGCTGCTGATCCTTTAACAAAGTTTTGCACTTTAAAGGTGTGAAGCGCTTATCAAATGATGAGACTACTCCAAAGAGCTTATCCAGGATTGACTGTACTGCATCGCGGCTGTCGATAAACCATACGATGTCGTCCGCATACTCCGGTTTTTCTACCATTCATTCATCCATTCATTATCCACGTTAGCTACAGGTGGGAAACATCCAATCTACTGTGCCGCACTACATGAGAAAGGAAAAAAGACGCAACATGGGCACGCCGGTTGAGCTATCGGTAACGGATGGACATCGTTCCGGAGAGCTAATAGCTGGCCATTTGCCGGGAAGATAGTTACGTTGTGTCCGAAATGAGATCGTGGTTAGAGGGGAAGGAACAAAGGAACTCACAACACAAATGCCGTTGGGGTCCGTCTCTGGCCATGTCAACAGGTATATTCAGCCAAACGTGTTCATCGTCTTTCGGGCCCCAGCCGGGGAGCCGGAAGGCTTCAACCGAGCCCAACTTCGAACTAGGAGCCTTCAGTTCTCTTGACCAAGTCATCACTTGGCTTCCAATCCTCTTCTTCCATCCACACCCCAGCTGAGCAAACAACGCACGTCACTGGAGTCGGTGGGCTGGCATGCGCAACACGTGACCCAACCACCGGAGCGTCGTTCGCGAAATAACGGTGCTGAGCAGTTCATTTCCCCTTCCTATATCATAAACAAGGCGCCGAGCGCGCTAATTGCTCACGCGTTGTTCCCATCAGATGTGAGTCATACTGCGAAGGCACCGGTGGTCGAACGTAACTAGCCTCTTTACGCCTGTCGATCTAATGGACCAGGTTTAGCAATGGCACAGCAGGGTCGAAACTATGGCAGCATTATACACGCTATCCTTCAGTATGAGAGTGATGTCGCGCCGGCGCCATAAGTGGCCAACGTTCGCAAATGCGCCTCGTACTTTTGCTGGATGGTTTGTGACCTCATCTTCAATTCCAACGGCGCTGGTACAATTACCTAGGTAGCTGGATTTCTATACGACTCCCAGTTGATCCCCGCCAAGGATTAGCGCAGGAGGCAGTCTCTGCCAATCTTGAAGGAAGCTTTGTACTTCATGGGTGCAAAGCAAAGCCCGAAACGGCGGACAACCAATGTTACTCTGTCTAGTGCTGCTTGGCATGCTTGTGAGCTGTCACCAATGAGGGCAATGTTGTCAGCATACTCCTTGGGGCAGCTCCACACCTAAGTCATATCCAGTGAACGCGATTTTCATAACTTCGTTAATGGCGAAGTGGAGAGAAGGTGACAGCGGGCAATCCTGCAGTTACTGAAGGGCAGCGACAGTTTGTCGTAAGCCCTCACTCTGTCCGAATTACGCGCGTAAAGCGCACACTTTTCGTTAGCAGACAGTTCCAAAGGACACATCGATTCACCGAGCTGAATGCATCTTTGATGTTGAGGAACACGACAACGGTGGGCCGCTAATATATATGACGGTGCTCCAACAATTGACGTAGAGTAAATGTGTAATGGATGCGGCCACGACCTCGACAAAACTCGGCTTGGTCCTCACGAATCTGGCTTTCACGGGTATTGGTCAGTCTGTGTGGGACGACAGAGGCAAACAACTTGGAGGCGATGGAGATCAGATGAGTTCCTCTTTGGTTGCCACATTCCGAACGTGAGCTTTTCTTGAAGATTGGGACAACAACAGAGCAGCTCCAGTTGGTATAGCAATACTCAGATCTTGAGATTCCGCAAAGGGACACTCCATGGTAAAGTTGAGCAAAGTGGGAGAATTGGACAACCCTGGCGTACACCACCTATTGTCCAACAGGCGTCTGACAACTCACCGTAGACTTTAAATCGATCTATGTTCGAGCACAGGGTAGGAAGAATGTACGAACAAGTATATCGAAGAGGATGGAGCGGTCGACTGAGTCGAACGCACTCTGAACTAGAGAAGGGATATAGCCATCGTCGGTGTGACGCTGTTCCAGCATCTACCGTAAAGTGTATGATATAAGGTTTGTACAGCCCCGTCTCCAACGGGAATAAGCCTGCTCATTTTTCCTCCGAAGTTTTCGTTCTGCAGTGAGGCGACGGCCGAGAATTGAGACTAATAGCTTTGTCACTACCGGTGTCAGGCTAATACTCCTGTGGTTAGCACAGTTGTTGCGGTTGCACTTCTTATATAGTGTCACTATGATCGATTAACTCCAGTTAGCTTCGTCCCGTACACGTTCAAATAGGTGGGTCAATGTTTGGCGGAGTACCTCAATTTCATCTTCGAAGAGCTCAAGTACAAGAGCATTCGGACCAGCACCGCGAAGACGGCTGAAAACTGTGATCGCGTTTCGAACCTCAGCCACAGATGGAGCCTCTAAACTACCTGGCCAGGGTTCACCCTGCATCTTCTGAGGCCCAGGAGCAGGGGCCCAACTAAAATTATACCGCAAGTGCTCCTTATTAGAAATTGGTGCACCGCTGCTGTCCTTCATTGTTTCACTGACGTATACTTTCCTGGGACCAATGGCGCGGTTCAGTTGGAAGAGTGCGGTAATTACTCGCTGCTCCGGTCCCCTCCATTTCTTGAATGCTTATTGTCAATCGGGTTTCCCTGTTAGCGCGCAGGCTCCGATTCAGTTTGCGCCGTCTGATCATATTGTATTTGGAGACTGCAGGGTGGTTTCTTCCAACAAGTTCACATATCGGATACCCAGTGACTGGTGAGATGACTACTACTGAGTGTCGTAAGCAGAGGCTCCAGCTTTGTGCATGGTTGGTTGCACGGTGTCAACAAAATGACCATCATTATCGTCACACACAGACACACGGCTAGAGGTGAGAGGAGGATAAGAAGGAGGGGGTGAAGGAGGAAACGTAGGACACAAACCCCAATGAAGTAGGTTCTTCGTCATGTCAACAAGTGTACTTGATAAAACGTGATCGTCATCTTTTGTATGCCAATCAAGCAGTCTAAGCAAGGGTTATCATTCCTCTTGACCAAGTCATTGCTTTTCCTCCTCTCCTTCCGTCCATACTCCGCGCAAACTATGCACGTCGCAGGAGTCGGTGTGTTAGCATGGCACAGCTATCGGAGCCTGGTGCGCGAAATAACGGGTGCCGAGTGGTTCGCTTCTTATTCTCGCGCCATAAACATTATGTTGAACGCGCTCACTGCTCAGGCGGTGTTCCCACCAGATGTGAGCCAAATTGCGAAGGCATCCGTGATCGCCTCTTTACGCCTGTCGATCTGATGGACCAAATTACACAATCGTGCAGCAGGGTTAAACGGACGACTAATAAACTCTGGCCTTCAGAGTGAGCGTGATGTTGCGCCGTCGTCATAAATATCGTAATTGGGAAAAATCACGTCCTTTTTGCTATACGATTTATCACCTCATTTTCTATTCCACAGACGCTGGTATAGCTGAATTTCTGAACGACTTCTAGCTGACGTCCACCACGGGTCAGCGCAGGGGGTGATCTCTGCCAGCATGAGAGGAAAGTTTGGAGGATGCAAAGCACGGCCCGAAAAGATTTACAGCGAGTTCAACAATGCTTGGCACGTTTGTGAGCTGTCACAGACTAGGGTGATGTCATCGACATGCTCCAAATCAAGAAGCCGACTGCTTGGGAACAGCTCCACACCTAAATCGTGTCCAATGAATGCAGTTTCCATGACTTCACCAATGGCAAACTCAAAAATGAAGGGTGACAATGGGCATCCCTATCTCACACCGCTGGAGATACTAAAGGGTGGCAACAGTTTGATATAAGCACTCATTCTGCCCGAAGTACGCCTATAAAGTGCTCTGATAGCTTCATGCATATTTCTCCAAGGTACCTTTCGTGGTTAAAGTTCTAAAAGATATATTGGCTCACCGAGGCACCTATGATGTTGAGGGATACGACTAGAGTGGGTTGGCAATTTAAGTAACGGTGCTTCAGCAAGTGACATAAAGTTAACATGTGATCGATGCAGCCTCGATTTTGATCAAACCCGGGTTGCTGTTCACAAGTTTGGTTTTCACGGGCGCCAGACGATGTATGGGAAACGACAGAAGCAAGCGATTTAAATCATATTGATCCCTCTATGACTGCCAAACTCCGAATGTGAATTTCCATTCGAAAATTGGAATTCTAACGAAGCAGCCCCGGTTGGTTGGAATAGTTTCTTCTCCCTACAGTTTCACATATAGATCATGCAAATCGCCCCCACAAATGCTCGTCCTCAGATTTGAAAGGGGCATGGAAATCAAAACTAGAAGATAAACACCTATCAATGCAAGGTGGGAAGATCAAGAATTGGAGGTAGTTTGAAAAGTGGGGGATAAAGATTTAGTTGGAGTGGGACCACAAGGATGGAAAGGTGCAAAAACGGGAATAAGATGACGGAATAGCCTGAGTAGTAGCACCCTTACCCTTAACCAACCTGCTCGATGTAGCAGATAAGGCACTGCTGATTATCTTCTGCGACAGGCAGAACATCTAGAAATTGTTCGGAAGGTTATCTTTGTATTGGGTGGACAAGATACTGTCGAGCTGCATAGGCATAGATGGGAGGAATGACTAGGGCCATCAACCAAAGAGTTTGGTTCAAAAAGCTGGCCGCAAGGCGGCAGATCGTTTTAGGAAATATGGAACCACTCTCTTTTAAACCCTCAACCTGAAGGTCTAGGTTGCCTGGCGAATCTGTATGAGTGGTTCTGAAGTGCAAATACAAGGCTTCCTGGATGATTGAGGCATGCCGACCGTCTCACCAAGTTAAGATCCATTCTCGTTGCCGTAACCATCATCAGATAAGTGAGCCTGATGCTGGAGCACTATGCCTGATGTTGCGTCAAGCAGCAAAGCAGACATCAGAGGAGGAGGAAGGGGAGAGTGACAAATGATATATAGGGCTGCCGTGCATTCGCCGCTAACGTTGAATCCGGGTGACTTTGGAACGGACAGTTTGTCATGAGCTACAATGCGAAAGCCCACTCGGTGACAAAGTCGCTACTTTGCTCCTTGTTTTTACACATATTGCGAAATGATGTTCCAGCCAGCGTTACAAACAAGGATGCCAAATGACCCTCCGAACTAAGGGATTTGTCGGAAAATGCATCCTTACCAGACTGGGTAACATCAATGCAAACTTCAGTTGAGCGATCGCTAGTTAGAATTGAATATCTCCAGCATCCATATGTGCCGGTATGTGTGAGTTCAGATCACATTAGTATATTGGCTAGGTTATATTCGTGTGACCTCGGACCGAGTTCTCACAATGCTTGACCCACGTAATTTTTGACAGATGTGTGACTGGAGCAAAATGAGAGCTTGACACAATGACCTGTGGACACGGTCATTCGCCGGCATGATCAATAATTATCCGTGTGTACATACGTAAATTGAGAAGCATCGATTCGGTCGAATGAAAGCCAAGATAAAAATCCGAGAGGGACGTTAATAAATCGAAGCTTAACACATCTAGTCAATATACACTTGATCACCTACGAAGTGTTGTGAACCGATTCATCGATTTGTTACAGGCCGACCAAACAAAACGGAATAATCGGTATAAACTTACCCGTCTCCACACAACCATCGCAACAGAACTGGATCTTAGCGTGTCGGGTTGGTTCGTGTACGTTCGTAATCCAGTGAACTACGCTGGATTTCTCCGGAACAATATATGTCAGATAGGTCAGTAGTTAGGAGTCAGTTTTACTCAGCCTCAGCATCCTCTTCGGAGGTTCGGGTGAGGTCAATGATCCTCTTTCCTCAAAACAACCATAAGAGATCACAGATTCGGTTTGTAAAATCCACTCGACTGGTGTAAGAGAGTGCTACGCGCTGTTTCTGACGGCGGCAGAGCACCACTCGGTACTCAATGATTTGCTAACGCCCGCCTCAACCCAGACAGCCCCATGCGTTTGGTTGTGTTCGCAGGTGCGGTCGAAAACTTATCTGAATTTCTGTGAATTTTCCAGGGTTGCATGTGGCCGGCATCAAGCAGATCCAATTGGCTTGTGGATCAGACTATTCGATCAAACGCTCAATGCGTGGTGAACACTTCGGGCATGAGAATGTAGCATACCGAATGAAGACTGGCGAAGAGGTGCTACAAAAAAGCAGACAGCCCAATACATGCCATACCCGCCTGGACTCCCCTGCTAAACCGTACAAAGACGCAAATCTCCTTCCACAAATACTTTGTTATGACGAATGTTGGCAGCGGCGCCCCGGTCAGTAGTTAGAGGTCAGGACGTCGGTGAGGATTCTAGTTGTATCACGTTTAATCAATAAACAGTGCATAGCGACTGAGCGCGAGTGGCCGAATACCACACTATAACGTGAATGAGGAGCGGCATCTGAGAAAACTCATTTCACTTCATGCAATGTGACCCACCTGTTGGTAACCTGGAAGCGCGTAGAACTCCCTCATTTCGAACCGGTTTCCGGAGACACAAATGAGAGAGACTTGAGAATCTGTGAAAAGCTCTACTGGAAATGCATTCAGTGGAATCTGATTGTTATCCAGTCGCAGCACGCGAAGCCGTGGGCACTTTGCGATGGAGCTGGTCACGATGGAGATAAGGTTGTTGTTCAGATTGATTTCCATTGCCTGTAAGATGGCAGAAGCATATCTTTCATATCGGAGCAGTTGTGAAGGTTGTGGAAAGCTGTTGAATATGATCTGTATGAAATTTTGGCGAAAGTTTAAGGAATAAAGGCATAAGGCCATCAAAAACCGTGGAAAAAATAAAACCGAGCATTTTTAAAAGCGGTCAGTTATTTATAGCAATTTGTTTCCGTTTCCACACACAGACTGTTTCTTTTCTCTACTTGACCTAGACAAATGCGCACACGGTTCCGAGCTATTGGCGCTCTAGTCACTTGACTTGACGTGAAATCTGGGATTTCATCTGCAATTGCTGTCTAAAACTGAGTGTAAAACTCAGCCCAGTCCTGAATGAGATAATATGGTGGGTGCGGTAAAGGTTTGAATGACATGCACAAGACGTAATCGAATCATCTCAATCGGGTGGTTGAGGGGAATACTCGCATTCTATCGCTGAAAGTGCGGTGCTGCCAACACACAGGAGAGGCCCTCCTCAAACCCCCGTCGCCAAAGACAAAAAAATCGGCGCATGTGACCTACGCGAATCAACCAGTATTCGCATCTATACGACAATGCTTAAATGTCGTTGTAAACTCAACGTTTTGACTCAGGAGAAGTCTCAGGTTAACAAACACCGACTGGGCTTTGGCGATGTAAAGAGTACTCTCCTTTACCACAGTCATCACCATCATTTTACACGTTAGCTGCAGGTGGAAAACACCTCAGCTATTGTGCCACAATACAAAAGACAAGAAAAAAACAGAGACATGCCGACTGAGTTCCCAGTGACGGATGCTCATCGTTCCGGAGAGCTAACAGTCGGCCATCGTGCCGCAAAAAGAGAGTTATATTATGCCTGACGAATGACATTGTGATTGGATGCGGAGACTAAGCAAGAGAGGAATGGTCAAAGGAACTCACAACACACGCCACGGGAGCCGGCTCTTAGCCATATCAGCAAGTGTGTCCAAGCAAACGTGTTCATCGTCCTTAGGACCTCAGCCAGGCAATCAGGATGCACCAACCTACGCCAACTTCGAAGTGAGTATTTTCATTTCTCTCGACTAAGTTGGCCTCCCCTCCTTTTCCAACCGCACCCCCGGTGCGCAAACAATGCACGTCGCGGGAGTCGAGGTGCTGGCATGCGCAACACGTGGCCCAGTCATCGTAGCCTGTGTGTGATATAATGGTGCTGAGCGGTTCATTAGATCTTCCAGCACCAAATAAGCGACGCCGAACACGTTCATTGCTCCCACTCGACATGAGCTAAGCTGCAGAGGTAGCGATGATCGAACGTGGCTATCCACTTTATGTCTGTCGATCTGATGGGCCAGGTTCCACAACCGCATGATAGGGTTGAACAGACGGCTGCATTATAAACTCTGCCATTCAGGGAGAGTGATGTCGCGTCTGCGCCACAAGTGGCGGAGATTGGAAAAAGCACCTCGAACTTTGGTTATATGGCTCGTAATGTCAGCTTCGATTCCACGGGGGCTAATATAGCTGTCCAGGTACTTGAATATCTGAACGACTTCTAGCTGATCACCACCATAGTTCAGTGCACAGGTGGGTCTCTGCCAATCTTGGAGAAGTACTTTGCATTTCGATGGAGCAAAACATAGCCCAAAACGATTGACAGCCAGTGCCAATCGGTCTTGGCACGTTTGAGCGCTGTCACATTTGAGGGCAATGTCGCCCGCATACTTCAAGTCAAAAAGTCGCTCACCAGGAAGTAGCTCCACACCTAGGTCGTGTCCAGCGAATGCTGCTGACTTCAATAGCGAAGTTAAAGAGGAAAGGTGTCAACGGACAACCTTGTCTCACACCGCTGGAGATATTGAAGAGTGGCGACAGTTTGCCATCAACCCTCACTCCGCCCGAACTACGCGCGTACTGCGCTTTGATGATATTTACATTTTTATCGAGCACACCTTTTCTCAGCATTTTTAAAGGGCACGTCGATTGACTGAGTCCAAGGTCCCGTTTATGTCAAGGAACACGACAACGGTGGATCGCCAACAAACATGGCGGTGCTCCAACAATTGATGCAAAGTGAAGATGCGCTCGATGCAGTCTCAATTTCGACGAAACCCGGCTTGCGCTTTACGAATCTGGCCTTCACGGGCGCGAATCAGTCTGTGGAGGACAGAGGCAAGCAATTTAGAGGCAATTGTGATCTGACTGATCCCTCTATGATTGCCGTATTCCGAACGGGAGCCTCCCTTGAAAATTGGGACAATGACGGAGCGGCTCCAGTCTGTCGAGACAGTCTCCCACTCCCAGTTTCACTAGCAACTCGTGTAAATCATCTACTAGAACAGCTCTCCCGAATTTGAAGATGGCTGGGGGAATTCCGTCTGCACCAGCGGCCTTATGCAATTGCAATAGTCTGATCTCACGTTCGACTTCTGCGCGTGACGGCGGAGCTAAGGAGACGGCCCATGGAGAAGAGCACTTAATGCCCGAGAGAAAAAGCGATAACTCAGATTGGTTAAACTGCCTTGCAAAGTGTTCGGCCCAATGCTCCAAGCGTTTTGACAGGCTGTGGATCGACTGTCCACTCTCGTCGCGTGTTGTCTCGCCAACACCAGATCTTCTGCTGCCTCTTTCCCATATCAGACGGAATAAGTTACGATTGTTACTAACGCAGCGGCTGTTTCCATTTCCGATGCACGATGAGACCACCAGGCTTCGCGGTCGCTCTTCAGGCTAGCCCGTAGTTTTGCCCTGAGATTTTTGCGAGTCTCATTGTATTCGCTTCAAGGAAGAATACGTCGGCGAGCATCTATAAATCCCAGAGTTTGTAGAGACCCAGTGTCCAAGTTGTCGATTTGATCTGCCACATGAAGTCATGCGTGCTGCTAATAACGTCTGGTGAAGACGCCACCAGTAATCTTCAACTGTGTTCAGTGAGCGCTTAATCAGTCCGGATGCCATCGTACTTTTATGCGGATTCAGAACATCTGGCTGGCATCAATGCGCTCAGAGCGACGTTGCGGACGTCCACTGAAACGCACTCACAGGTCAGTACACACGAGAGCGTGTTCGGAGTCCACCCTGGTACTCCGAATGGAGCGAAAATTTTGGACATAGCTTCTCCAGCGGTAACTAATCGCAAGGTGATCGACTTGCGTCCATGGTTAGCGGGCGCCAAGTCGCTCTTCTGTGGGTGCTATGTCGAAAGTTCGTGCCTGCAAGAAAGAGACGAACACCTTCAGACAGGTTTAGCAACCGCTTACTGTTACCATTACGGGAGCCTACATGTTGGCTGCACAGATGAAGCTTATCAAAGGACAATTTTCCGACTTGGGCGTTTAGATCACCAGCAAGCTGCACAGTATCCGTGCTTTTTCTGTAACAGAAGATCGTTAAGTTGGTGATAGAAATCATCTTACACCGAATCATGGCAGCAGTTTGTGGGGGCGTAGGGCGGAATAACAGACAAGCACTGTTTGTCCCCTGCGCGACTTTCCACAGTGCCACTCACAGGAGCATAATTCCCCAAATAGTCAAAACCATCCGCTCTCTCGAGATGTACGTCTTCAACAGTGAGCAAGGGCCTGTGGCAGCACTTGGCATCTCGAGAGAGAGAAGCACACACCAATTCCCATAGTTCAGAATTGTTTACATACGCTGCAGGTCGTCGCTGAGTGTGACGATGTCATGGCATAATCTACGTCAGTCCCGCTTACTTGAGAACTATAGCCCAGCACTTTGCAAACCCTTTAGAGCTATGACGCCTTTAATCGGTTATATTAGGACGTAGACAAGAAAGTCAGAGAACAAGCTTTGTTTCCAGTGGTTCGTCATCAGGCTATTACACCACGAATGAATGACACTAAATGTGAACAACGGATAAGGGTACGTGTTCGGAAGCCTAGAGAGACTAAGTGCCCAAGCTAGCTGATTGATCCCACAGCGCTGAGGGGTGTCTGTGTGGTGTTAAGCACATAATGTGTCCGCGTTACAGGAGGCCAGAGTAGGGTTCATGTCTGGACGAATTTCTTATGTGCGCATAGATCAGGGTCATAAAGTCTGATGGCAATCGTTTAAATAAATAAATAAACTTTTTATTCTCGGCAACGCGCGAGGCACATTTTTACAGGCATGATCACGTTATGATAACAGTGTGAACAAAAATGTACAAGAATACATGTTTGTCATAACAGTGAATTTGCGCATGGATATGTGTGTAACTGTGCATAGGTGTAGTTTTGTAACTTGTGTTGTGTGTGCCGTTGTATCTGTGACTGTTTGACAGCGTCGACTATGTAAGAATCGACGGTTGATATCCGTGGATTGAATGTAATTATCCAGATATCCACGGGGCAGTGACTTTAGTTTGTAGCGAGTCACATTCGCCACATCACAGTGTTGATAAACGGACATTTGTAGCTTTTTACAGGGAGAACGCTTGCTGGGCGAAAACCCACAACATCCTGGAACGCTGACGCCGAACTACTTGCTGAAATGGGTTACACCCGAACCACCCAGTTGGCACCACGAGGTTGTTCAGCTAGCCGGTAGGCAATATCTGACCATTCGTATATGGCGCCTGGGTACGCGGTAGATGGGATGGAACGTTTCATTTGCATCGACCAGATGGTTAGAATCAACGAAATGTGCAGACACGGCGCTTGTCGCTGTTCTGGTTAATCCGCTATATAGCCAAGCTGAGTAGTGCTCCCGGGCTCTCTAAGATAATCTCCTGGTGGTTCCTCCTGTATATCTTGATCAGACAGCATCATTATTGTCTTCTTTTCCGTCCTCCGAAATTTCGAGTGGTCACTGAGGATTACATCATTTTATCGATATAGTCAGATTTGTCCATTAAGACTATCCCTGCTCCTTTGTCTGGTCTGGAGAGCAGCACATTCTCATTCCGTCTAAGCGCCTTGAGGGCATATAGGTGCTCGTTTTTCAACAGATACCTGAGTTTAGACTTGTGTTTCAGATACTAATAGCATGTACTAACCATGGTGGGCTTAAAGCTAAAGCAGATG